GCACAGGCCAGCAAGAAGTTGGGGTGCAGCATCACAGGCAAGAGACGGTAGGCCGACTTGAAAAGGCTAGGCAGCTGGCCCAGGAAAACCTAGCAGAGGCCCAACAGAGGCAAAAACATGAGTATGACAGAAGGACCCATGTACAAGACTTCCATGTAGGGGACAAAGTTCTTGTATTACTTCCTACTACAGCAGACAAATTAATAACATGTTGGCAGGGACCATTCGAGATAGTGTGACAAGCTGGTCCTGTAGACAATGAAGTATACCATCCAGGGCACTGCAAAGAGCGACAAATTTACAACATTAATTTATTGAAAGCCTGATGGGAACCTGAAGGTTGGATGCTGAGCCCAGAGGATCCATGGGAGGAACTAGGACCTGAGGTAGAAGACAAGCAAGAGAAGGTAGTCCAGAGTAGTCAACTAACACAAGGACCAGGGCTTAATGTGGAGCAACACAAACATTTACAAATGCTTATAGAGGAATTCAATAATGTGTTTAATGAAAAGCCTGGACGGGCTCAAAGGGTGAGACATGAGATCCATACCCCAAAGGGAACCATCAACAAAGAAAGATGGAGGCCCATTCCTCATCACTTACAGGAAAGGGTATGTCAGGAAATACAGAAGATGTTGGCACAAGGGATTATTGTACCTTCACACAGTCCATGGCGGAGTTCCATGGTAATACTACCCAAAACTGAGGGGTCCCTTCGAATATGTATCAACTTCAGGAAAACAAATGAAATTGCCAGATTTGATGCATTTCCTATGCTGCATTTGGAGGAACTATTAGAGAGGATAGGCCAGGCTTGTTATATTTCCACAATCAATGTTTGAAAAGGGTATTGGCAAATACCTATGGCAGAGAAGGACCAACAGAAAACCATCTTCAGTACACCCTGGGGCCTATTTGAATTTACAAGGATGCTGTTTGGCCTACATGGAGCTGCAGTGACATTTCAGCAACTCATGGACCACATCCTTGCCCTGCACATGATGCCCGCCACTGCTCATATCAACGACATTCTTATATACTCACAATCCTGGGGGCAACATCTATGACATGTAAAAGAGGAGCTGCGAGAACTTTGCCAGATAGGGATGACAGTCAACCCCAAGAAATATGCTCTTGGAATGCAAGAAACCAATTACCTAGGATGTAGAGTGGGACAGAGAATCATATGTCCGCTGGCCAGTAAGATAGAGACAATAGAAAATTATTTACCGCCCCAGACTAAGTGACAGATGAGATCTTTCCTGGGGCTGGCTAACTATTATAGGAGATTTATTCCCCATTTCGTGGAAAAAGCAGCAACATAAACAGATGCAATAAAGGGGAAGGTCCAGGGTCCCATATGGTGGATTCCTCAAATGGAGAAAGCTTTTAAGGATATCAAAAGAGCCCTGTGTAATGATGTGGTAGTAGTAACGTGTGATTTCTCTAAAATTTTTATCCTGCAGATGGATGCATCCGAGACTGCTGTAGACACAGTGCTGTGTCAGGATCAAAAAGACATAGAGTGACCAATTGCCTTTGCTAGTAAAAAATTAAATGCCACTGAGACCAGGTATTCTACTATTGAGAAGGAGTGCCTGGCAAAAAAATGAGCCATAAACTATTTCAGATACTATTTAATGGGGCAAGAATTCAAATTAGTTATGGATCGCTAAATAAATTTAAGCATGATAATGTGCAAATTACGCGTTGGGCATTATTACTACAACCTTTTAAATTTAGTGTTAGTTACAGACTAGTAGCAACTAATAAAGTTGCAGATTTTTTATCAAGGTGTAACTAGAGTGAGATGAGAGTGACAGATCAGCACAGGACCTGTGTCAAGATTACTGATGACTGAGATCCAAAAACTGTTACACCACAAGGCAACTTAAGTGGGGGGTTATGTGGAAAAGACTTATCTCAGCTGGGTGAGGAGCGGAGCCTGCAGGATGCCACGCTGGAACTGGAGCACGGCAAAAGTGAAACCGCGGTGGGTGGAGACACCGTGGTAAAGGAAAAAAGGAAAAAAAAACAGCCAAGCCAGAAGGAGCTAGGATCAGCTCCCATGTTGGCATGGGCACACTTTGTGGTGGCTTGCTGCAGCCGATTAGCTGTCCAGACCCCTGAAGCTGAGATAAAAAGCACGGTGGGAGACCAGCAGGGAGGATCAGAAGTGAGGTCCCTGACTCGCCCAGAGGAGCCAGATCCAGATCCCAGTCCCAGCACAGGGACCTGGTAGTTAACCCAGGAAGGGGTTTTCTCAAATACTCAGGGCCAGAGAAGGCCCAATAACTTACCTATAGAGACTTTGTGGATATTGGACATCCACAGCACAGACTGGATTCCGATAGGACTTACTATGAAGTAAGGCAAGGATCGGTGGAAGTCAAGTATAAGGCCCGAATAGGGAGCGAGATGCCAGGGGACAAGACATGCTAGGATCAGGAAGACACATAAACAAGGAAAGGGGTGGTAAGGAACACTCGGGCCAAACAAACCATCATAAATTTAAAGGGCCAAAGCACCAAAGTGCACGTGATACCAATTCTGGTGGTTCAGGAAACGACATCTTTGGTTGGCATTAGGCAGGGTGTAGGGGAGGCGGAGCCCCAAGCGGGAAGAACAACTGGGACAACTGAAGGAAGGCACCAGGAAAGACAGGACAGACCGTCTTCCTTCCAGTTAAAATAATTTTCCAACAAAGACATGGCAGGAGAGACCCCCTGGAAAACCAACCAGAGTCCAACCCACTAAAAAGCTTGTTTCTTCCCTAAAGCAATGGCAAAGTCAGAAAAGACCCTGTGAACTCAACACACAGGTGAACAGCACAGGAGGCTACAATGTGATATACCTTGATTCTAACAAAGCTTTTGATACAGTCTCCTACAGTGTTCTCCCAGGCAAGCTAAAGATATATGGGCTGGATGACTGTACTGTAAGGTGTAGAGAAAACTGGCTGGAGCATTGGGCTCAGAGGGTAGTAATCAATGGGTCGATGTCTAGTTGGTAGCTGGTATCAAGTGAAGTGCTCCAGGGCTTGGTCCTGGGGCTGGTTTTGTTCAATGACCATCAGTGACCTGGAAGATGGTATACAGTGCACCCTCAGCAAGTTTGCAGATGTCACCAAGCTGTGGGGAGTAGTAGGTACACTGGAGGGTAGGGATAGGATTCAGAGTGACCTAGACAAGTTGAAGGATTGGGCCAAAAGGAATCTCATAAATTTCACCAAGGACAAGTGCAAAGTCCTGCACTTAGGGCAGAATAATTCATTGCATCAGTACAGGTTGGGGACTGACTGGCTGGGAAGTAGGTCTGCAGAAAAGGACCTGGGGGTTACAGTGGACAATAAACTGAATATGAGTCAACAGTGTGCCATTGTTACAAAAAAGGCTAACAGCATACTGAGTTACATCAGTAGGAGTGTTGCCAGCAGGTCAAAGAAAGTGATTTCTCCCCTCTATTCAGCACTGGTGAGGCCCCATCTGGAGTATTGTGTTCAGGTCAGACTTAACTAACAGATCTTATTTAGTCTAGAGAAGAGGAGGGGATTTAATAGCAGCCTTCAACTACCTGAAGAGGGTTTAGAAAGAGGATGGAGCTAGACTATTCTCAGTGGTGACAGATAACAGAAAAAGGAGCAATGGTCTCAAGTTGCAACAAGAGAAGTTTAGGTTAGATACGAGGAAGAATTATCTTACTAGGAGGGTAGTAAGACACTGGAACAGGTTACCCGGAGAGGTGGTAGAATCTCCATCCTTTGAGGTTTTTAAGACCTGACTAGACAAACTTTGGCTGGGATGATCTAGTTGAGGATGGTCCTGCCTTGAGCAGGGAGTTAGACTAGATGACCTCCTGAGGTCCCTTCCAACCCTAATTTTCTATGATTCTATGAAACTAGCATGGGTGCAACCACTAGCTAATATATATATATATTCCCAATGTGTGAACTAGGACACTTCACAGTTAGTATAATCAAAGGAGAAATTACTCATAGTTCTCTGCTTATCTCTCCTTCAATCAAAAGAGAATCTTTTTCATAGGCCAGTCTAATGCTCACTTATTTCAGTTGAAAAAAAAAACAGTCACAAGTACTTTGCCCTCATCTTAGGGATATTTTTATATATGAAAATTTATTAAAGTAATCAGGATCATCCCCTCAACAAAACTTACCTCCAGGTGTACCAACTACCAGGGAATCACCAACTGGGCACATCACTCCTAAAAGTCCTGCTTGTAAAAAGAGAATCCCTGAAGTGGATTTTGTTGGGGTTTTGTTGTTCTCCCGCCCTGGCGGGGGGTCAGGCTAGAAGATCTACTAGGTCCCTTCCGACCCTAAATCTATGAAACTATGAAACTATGAAGTGAAACTGCCATGTGAAACAGCATTTGCCAATGGTGTGGCATGAGTCCCAGAAGAAATGTTTTATAGCACAGGAGTACTCCCAATGGAGACGTAATTTAACAAAAAGGAATGCAATGTTACACATGGGCAGCTTAACTTGAAGAATATTTAGTATTATTAGGAATTGCTGTAAAATGTATATTGAGTAAATACATGTAATAAAATATAATAGAAGCCCTGGGGAAGTGGCGAAACCATGGAGAATACTCTCAGCTGGCTCCGTCACAGGCAGTAGGCCTACACTGATTGACACCAGCTGTGGATATTGTCTAAAATGTGTCTGCTGTCATCATTCCCTAGAGATGTGCCAGTCAGCTACCTCTCTTTCTGAGTGCAACATAATCCATCCTAGAAATTATGCTTTCCAAGTTTGTGTGTTATTAATACTGATACATTAAGGTTCTCTCTGCATATCTGGTCCCACAGAATTCCTATTATTCTGTTCTTATATTCATTGAATGAAACAGGTCACATAAACAAGTTACACAACTAAAACATTGTGGCAACAGGTAAATACATTCTAGGATTGTACAAAATGTTTATGAAATTAAAGACTACACCAATTATACCAGCAAAGAATTGACTATTAACTTACTCGGAAAACTTTCTCCACTCTTGCAATACTCTTCCCAAAGATGGTGCCCAGCTGATCTCCAATTCCAGCCAGCAAAAAGCCAAATAGTGGAATCCCAAAGATAGCATACAAAATGCAGAAAATTTTGCCTCCTTCAGTGCTCGGGGCAATGTTCCCGTACCCTGGAGAGAAAAATAATCATCAGAACTTCCTAATTCAGAGATGGCCTTTGAGGAAGCTAACCCACGGTTCCCACGATGGAGCCCCTACTCTTCATTAGACAGCATATGCTGTGCAAACCTGTAGTGCACTGGGAGTCCAGGCCTACAATCCCACAGACAGAATCTAGCTCTGATTTTTAAATAGTATCCACTGTAGCTCAGAATGACTCATTTGTAATTCTGTTACCAATCTCTCTCTAAAGCACCGTTTCTCAACCTGTGGGTCATGACCCAAAAATGGGTCTCAAGAATATATGAAAGGGTCACAAATGAACTTTAAAAGTGGATTCTCCTTTAAAGGAAAGAACCATGGGAAACTGGCTTTTCCCTTGCAGACTGGCAGGGTTCCAGCCCCCTCCCACTGCCCCATACACCCACTCCCTGCCCCACATACTGGGGAGCTGGGCCTGGGGGCAGCACATTGCAAGTGAGGGGCACTGGGTCAGGACTGGCCATCAATGGTTACAAATGGGCCCTGGTACAAAAAAGGTTGAGAACCACTGCTCTGGAGGAGCAGCTTCCTAACCAAAGTTGCTATCGTTCAGCATGGTGGCTACTTAGGCTGCTACAGGAAATCCTTGGACTAGAGCCAGAGCCTGCACCCAGGCTCTGCCCATTGCTCCCTTACGGGA